GAGATTGAATGGAAAACTCAAAGAACTAGATAAACTGGCATAAACAGCCTTGAACAAAGTGAACTACAACCTTAAGCGCACCAGTAACCTTGGCTAAAGTAAGGAATCAAAGACAGTTTGCTAAAGAGTGTAAAATGAAATTCTACTTAATTTTTTAAGCAAAACTAAAAAGGCTGGCAAAACAGTCTTGTCGATTCCTGTACAAGAACTAAAATAAGTACACTTTAAATACAGAATGGATTCTGCCGTGGTGCTTGTAATTGACAGCAAAATTTTTGAAAAATTAAAACCTTATGGTTTGTTTGATTCTGTTGTAGGGGTCTACCTCTAGGGAAAATCCTCAGCTAATTATTAATAAATATTACAAAACTTCAGAATCCCTATATTTTACAAAGAATGTTTTAGATACAAGTTTCACACTCGTAAACCCTTATGAATTCAGCCTCTTTTCGAAAACCATGCTGCGTATGCAGGTGCCCTTTAAAGGTTTTCAAGGTTGACGTACTCTCTTTCAAAACCATGCTTTACGTTTGAGATCTCCCAAACCATGGTAAGTCGTCCTGGCCTTGTCGTTTTGTTATAGTATAGGATCAATTGCAATCTCGGTTCATCTACAGTAAATCGGTACAGCCACTGAAATCATGTAAAAAGGTCAACATGACTGGCTTACCTATTTTGGCTCGCATTACGAGCAAGCGCACTTCTGTCACTATGTCTTTTGTCTCTTTCATGAAACATGTGTAATTTCCGGTATCAGAGATTGAAACAATTTTCTGTTTGACGCAATGATGCACTTCTTCCCAATCGTCCATCGATCCTCCCTAAGTAACTTCAGTGAGGACTAACTAGCGCTACACTTTAGAAGGATGCCAAAATCATCGTCGAAGAATATTGTGATATTCTGCGCATTTTTTGAGGGAAGGACGTCAATTCAATCATATACCTTAAGAAGTGCTTGTCGCATATTTACAGTCTAACAACAAATTCACCTTTTATATGCCGCTCTTCCAGAAGAACATTATTAAAAATTTTCCTTACGGTATGGTAAGGAACGGCCTTCCTATTTGTTTTTTCAACGGTTTTCCCGGGCTACCGAGTTTAACTTGCTGAGGCGAAGAGTTTGCTTATACTGCTCATCTGTTTAGTCAATGTAGAGAGCTTTTTAATGCTAAATCTATTTACGTTGCGGCATATGCATCCGAATCTGCAAACCTGCAAACCAAAACTTAATGACCAAAACAAAACAGGGGGAAATCTGGCTCCGTGGTAGAGCGACAACTTATTCTCCGCGCGAGCTTCTACAACTCTGCAAAAATTTGAGAAGAAGCAGAAGCAGCGTTGAAATTTACATTAATCAGTGTAAATGTAAATAAATGCTGGCTTAAGTTGGTCTTCCTTGTTTCACCCGTTTCACACACTCGAGACCGTGTAATTATCCTGTAGGCAATTCAGTTCAGGTAGGCAGACGAAAAGTGTTCATACCATTCAGCAATGAACACTTTTCAGACTAGAATTGTTAGGAATCTAGAAATATATGAATGTTCTTGCGCATCGCTGCTCATCAATGTATAACTGGGATATCGAAAAGCTCGAGTGGGGTTCTTTTAGTGTTCTCAGCTGCCATACTGTTGAGTTGAAAGGATAAAATGCGTTTTGCAGTTGGTAGATTGGGAATCCGAAGTGCAGAATTGGTGAAAG